GGTAGAATGGTGGCTGGACCCCCACTGGTACCCACTGTGGGCACCACAGCCCAGACAGAAACTCCTAGGTAGACACCTACACCACACACAACCCCAAAAGAGTGGGGACCGAAGGCACCCCTTCTGCAGCAGTCCTGCTTCCCACTTCCCAGTGCCCTCTTTGCCACCCTCTTCCAGGAAGCCCCCCTGGCCAGGCCTAGCACCTCTGTAAAGCTCCCATCAGACCTGAGGCTCTGCACGACTGGGCCTCCTGACAGACTCAGGACGGCTGCCATCAGCACTGGGCTGGGTTCTCAAACATCTTTCATGGAGTGGACAGTCAAGAGCAAGGGAGAGAAGTGTGGGCGGCCCAGAGGGTAGGGCAGTGAGTACCTGGAAGGGCTTTGGCAGACCTGAGGGGCTCAGGGTCCTTGGGGGTACAGAAAAACATAGGAGGGGGAGGCCATCTCACCTGCCCACCTCCCCTGCAGCTGTGCTCTCACATACCCACAGGCCTGCGCATCCTAGGCACACAGAGACCTTGCTGGTCCTCCTGGAAGGGCCGAAGGCATGGCCCACAGGCTTGGGCACCTGGGGGGCATTTTGCTCGCCTCTTCAGAGCACAGTCCAGGCTCCCAGGACAGGATGCCACATCTGGGAAAAACAGAAGGCAAGGTCCATCACGGCCCAGTCAGCCTGCCCCTGCTCAGAAACAGCACTCCATAGCCACCCCTCCCCCAGAGCCAGAGGCTGGCTTGACCATTGTTCTGGACAGGCCCTTTCTCCTCACTGCCAGAGCTCAGAACCAGGAAGCAAACAGTCCCAAGACATGGGAACTGCCCTGCCCCACCCACTCCCCAGAGTCTAGCCCTCTGTGTAGAAACTGACCCACACTGTCCCCAGCACGCAGCTCTCCTAGGCAGGACTGTGCAGCTCTCCAAGGCTGGCCTCTGGCCTCAGCATGACCCAGAGCAAGCAGAGACTTATCCAGATTGGAAGCTCCAGGAAGGGGGGGCCCAGTTGCTCTCTCTGGCTCAGGAGATGCTCCCCCACATCAAGATTCCCCCCAAACCTCATCCCACCATCTTGCAGCCCCACAGAGTGGAGTTTGGAAGACAGCTGCTGCTGCCTGCCTAGCCTCTGGCTTGTTCCCAGGGCACAGAGGTGCCACGGGGTTGAGCAGAACTAAGAGTTGGTCAGACCCAGGGCCTCAGGGACTCCAGGCTAGGCCCTAGATCCCAGCCACACTTTCAGCTCTCTGACAGGAGCCTAGATCCTCGTGTCCTATTTATATACAGCCCATCAGTCCCATCCTGATGCTGGAGGATGGGGACAATGGCCCTCTCTGCCTCAGCTTCCTCTGTGGGATACAAAATCTGTTGATTCAAAGCTAAGAAATGTTCCCAAGCCAGGGTCTCTGGGCTCAGTCACAGCAAGCGGGCAGGGCTAGCAGAATACCCAGCAGGACAATCAACCCTGCTTGGTGGGTGTCTCCAGCCAACCAGATCTTTCTCCACACAGACCCCACCCCACACTGTAGGCAAGGTCACTAGGGCCCAGAGTGGGGGATGTGCTTCTCCAGACCTTGGTGGGCCTGGCTTGGTTTCCTTGGTGACCTGACACTCCATGCCTCCAGGCTGTAGGCACCCTTACAAGGAAGTCCCAGCATCCTCAGTGGCAGGTGGGCCTTCAGACTCCCATGGCAGGCACCCCCACCCTCTGCAGGCAGGATCAGCAGCTTCCAGTATCAGTGGGCTGGGTCTTGGGCTTGGGCTAGTTAAACATTAAGCTCCTCCCAGAAGGCTCATCTGGTCCCCACCCACCAGCTGGACACCTGGGAGCTAGCAGTCCCTGCCCCTGGTGCTGATAACTGGCCTGCGGTACACGGCCAGTTCTGGGCTTCAGGGGCCTCTCTGGTCCTCCAACTCCCCAGCCCAGGAGAATATAGTTGCTGCCTATTTAATCTTGGTCAGGAAGGCCCCCTCCAACTTCGGGGAGGAGGAGGAGGAGGTACGGGGAGCAATAGCAGCTGCAGAATGGCTGGCACTCCACTCCACATCTATGAAAGGCCTTCCCAGTCCCTGGGTGTGGGAGAGACAGCCTGGGGGGCACCCCAGATCTCCCAGCAAGGTGGCCCAAAGCTGCAGAGGAGATGAACAGCAGGGATAGCACCTGCCCACTTGTGGGGCTCAGGAGCAGCTGCAGTTCCACTTCCTGAGGAGGCCCCACTCTGGGGCCTCCACCAGCTCTGACCATCCCTTCTCAGACCTCCTCCTCTGGCCTCTCCAGCCTTGCTCTGACCTCTTGAGGCCACACATACAGAATGAGATCACTCAAAGTAGCATCCCAAATGTGCCACATACCAGTAACTGAACTTCTCTGAGCCTCAGTTTCCCGACCTGTAAGATGAGCTGATAGTACGCTTGTCACAGGGAAGCCAGAATTGAGTGAATGTATGGACATCTGTCCCAGTTCAGTCCCCTTGGGAGAAGGTGTTGCTTTGGACCCTGGATTCCTGTAGACCTTTGGTTCTTGGAACCTCAGTGCCCATCTGTGAAACAGGGATGAGTCTCCCTGGGCTCCCTCTCTCCTCCAGAGTCTACACACAAACCTTAGGCCAAAAGCAGGATGGCAGGTGTCCTCCAGGCAGGGTGGGGTGTGCGAAGAGAACAGCCTGTCCCCTGGGGAAGGCAGAGCAAGATCCTAGGCCTGGGAACCTCAAACCCTGCTTGAGGCAAAGCAAGGCTTGTGTTGCACACCACCAGAGACAGGAGAACCAGCAGTCTATCTCACCGACGGGACCCAGGCCATTCAAGGGCAGCAAGGCCTGAAAGCTCGGGGACCAGCCCCGCACCTCTGGAGCCCCAAAGAACACCAGGAACACACGGAGATGCACAGAACAGATCCCCATGGTGCACCCCAGCCAGACTGCTGCGGGGCAGAGAAAGACCCCCTGAGATAAACCCAGACTGGCTCACGGACTCAAACAAAGACAAGAAGTGCATGAACTTCGGGTTCGCCCGCTGAGCCCTAGGAGAGCCTCATCCAGCGGAGCCCACGGGCAGCCCTCCAGGCCCGGCCTGTTTACCCCATCCCAGGCGAGGCGGGGCCGGAGCGGCAGCGGACCCGGCCTGCGTGGCCTCCCGGCCTGGTAGGCGCCGGGGAGGATGGCGGTGGCGCCGCGCAGCCCGACTTCCTGCCCGGCGATCCCGGCCCTGGGACACCCGGCAGCCTGCGCCCAGCGCGCTCGCTCACCCGGGCGGCCGGCGGCGGCACCGTTCAGGGCCGCGCCCAGGACGAGGCCGGAGAGCAGCAGCCGCAACAACCGCAGGTGCCGCGGGGCGGGCGGAGGGACAGGCGTCGCCATCCTTCAGCTCCGCCGCCCGGGCAGCATGGCAGCCCGCGGGCCCAGGCTCGGTGCAGGCTCCGGGCGCTGCTACCGGAGAAGCCGGGGAGCAAGGGGGGGCGGAGGAGAAAGAGGAAAAGGAAAAGAGGAGGCGACGGCGCTGACGCTGCGGCAAAGGATCCGGGACAGAGGCGCGGCTGCTAGAGGCGCGCTCGCGAGCAGTGCGCCTGCGCGCTCCACCTGCGGGGGCGGGACGGCGTTTCCAGGCTGAACCCCCTCCTCCTCCCTCCAGTCTGGTCCCCTCACTCCAAGTCCCCAGTGTCTCGTCCCCTTCCGCCTCTGTCCTTCCATGTTCCCCAGAAATCTGGCATGGGATTGATTAGGGGTGAGTTTTTCCAGGATGCGCCCCCTCCTGTCCTGTTCCTACTGGGACTGCCGAATCCTCATGCCCCACCACGCTGGAATTGAGAACTTGCCTGGGGTTGGGGCCCGGACACCATGGAACAGGGGAACACCAGGCCCGCACAATAAACAAGGGATAAACAGGTGCACAGGTGTGCCTGGAAACGCACGGGGCGCCCAGAGACACGAATAAAAGCAAACAGGCGCAGAACTAGATGGGTCCCGATGCCACCCAGGCTGGATCCTGAGTGAGGCCACCAGGGGGCAAAAGTGACCCAGAGCTACTGCCGAAAGCCAGCTGGGAGCTGTCCGAGGTGGTCATGCTCCCAGGTGACAGCTTTCAGCTCCCCCGTTTCCCACGATATCGAGTACCTACGAAGCCCTCCCTTACACCTCATCTGCCTCCCGAGAGGACACCCCAACCCACCTGGACACCTCCCTCTGGCTCAGTCAAGTGAACATGGTTGAGACCCCCAACCCGGTGTTTCCTCTCAGTCTCCCGAGTCTCAGAACGCCAAAGCTGGGGCTGGTTGCCGAAGGTTTGCAAAATGGCTGAAGGGTATGTGTTGTGTGTGGGGAGCAGGGAGCAGAACAAGGACCGCCCCCTCCCCCACAGGGCACTGACCAGACAGAAATAGTATCTGAGCTCACTTCCCAGAAAGGGGGGGGGGGGGGGCGCCTGGAAGAAGTAACCAAGACCACGCCTTCCCACCCCGGAGAAAACAGTCTTAGGGCTGGGGCTGCTGGCGCCCCTGATCCCACAGTGGCTGGAGGGGCTGCTGGATGCCTCTTCCCAGTGCAGGGATTTCAGGGCCCAGGCGAGAGGGGCAAGGGGTCCCCATGCCCCTGCGGCCTTGGCTCAGAGCCACGCTCGTGGCAAGTGTCATCCCTCAGTGGGCTGGCTCTGTCGGACTGATCTCCGCGCCCACATCCCTGAGAACCTGTCCTGCCTCATGGTCTGTGGGCACTGACGCTGCCCCAGGCAGCTGCCTTCCCCTCCGACCTTTCCCCTAGTCTAAGCCAGGATCGGGCCTCTGACGCCGATGAGCGGGGCCGGGGGTGGGGTCGTGGCGGCTCTGCTGGCCAGGGAAGGCTCAGGGACTCAGGGACTGCTCTATAGGCCAGAGCCAGGAGGTTCACACGGTCCTAAGTCTGAACCAGAGAGGAAGGAAGAGCGAAGAGCCGGTGTCCACTCTTGGGACCAGAGGCAGGCCTGCAGGGACAACACAGATGGAAGGAGGGTCGATGCCCCACCCTATGAACACTCCACTGCTCTAGGAAAAAAATCTTTTATTACAAAACTTTTACCAGTAGGAGCTGGACTGGCTCCCAGCCTGTGGCCTCTGACCCTCCCCTAGTACAGACCCAGGCTCTATGAACGGGGTGCTCCGAGGGACCTGAAGGCCGGAATGGAAGATTCGCTTCTGGAGACCTCGCCCTGAGTCCCAGGCTGGGGGACCCGCCACCCCAGGAAGAGGAGGAGCGAGAAGCACTGAGGAAGTGCATCCGGAGGGGCTGAGGGGGCTGGAGGAGATGCAGAGGCCGGAGGAGCTGAGGGGCCCCTTGGTTTTGCGCCCCAGAGCTTCAGTTCCGGGCGGCCTCAGGGTCAGAGACGCCCAGGTTGGAGTGAAGGGTGGGGGATGCTGCGCTGAGGGCTCTAGGGAGGCGCCCCGCGCGCCCTAGATGGCGCTAGGCGACTTGGAGGAGCGCACCTGGCGCAGCAGCAGGCCGAGCGCGACCAGGAGCATGGCGGCGAAGAGCAGGAGGAGGGCGACCCAGGACCTGAAGTCGGTGCCCTTGCGCAGCCCCGGCGGGTCGGCGGGGATCATGTTGGTCAGGTTCAGCATGTAGCCGAGCGCCCAGCCGACCGCCGTGTCCGCGGCCTACGGGAGGCGCGCGTCAGCGTCCCAGAGGCCCCGCCCCGCCGCGCCCCGCCCCGCCCACCTACCTTCTTCTGGAAGGCCACGCCGCGGAAGGAGCGCTCGTCGAAGCCGTAGCCGCGGCTCAGCAGCTGCTGCACGAACATGGCCCCAGCGCAGTAGTCGGCCAGGCGGGCTTGCTGCCTTGGCGCCCGAGTCTGCAGCTGGGACGCGGGCGGAAGAACGTCCAGTTGGCGACCCCCGGAGACCGCTGAGGGCTGTACCCTCCCTCACCCACAAACCAAGTGAGGCCAGAGACAGCCACACGACCAGGAATTGCGCAGCAAGACTGAGGCCAAGGGAGCACCCCTAGACAGCGCACCCCTCGGGGATGAACTGAGTGACTGCTGGATGGCAGTGTCCCCCTCCCGAGCCACTGCCGGTGCCTGGAAGGCTGGGCGCAGATGGCCACGAGGCAGCTGAGGGCAGCAGCATTTGGTGTGTGGCCGGGGGAACAGGAGCTCCAGGCTTGGACCCAAGAGCCTTGCTCCTGTTCCCACCTCCTCACATCCCTAGTCTGCCTGCAACTAGGCACAGACAAGACTGGGTGGGAATGTCACATTTCTCCTGGAGACTCAGGTGCACACTTCACACTCTAGGTGGCCAGACCCCTCCATCTCTCCTTATGTGGCAGCATGGCAGAAGTCAGAAAGCTAGGAGTCCTGTTTATCTCCTCAGCCCCACCCAAAACCCTGGCAGTTCTACCTGCTGTCTCTCCTGAGTTGTCCTCCACCAGTAGGCCATTCTCCCCCACCCTGTCCCAGCCACTTGCCTCTCCATCCCTGTCTTTTCCAAGCTCCCTGATGTCACAGGGCCTTTGCAGTACCTGCTCCCCTGCCCACCAGGTCTTGTTTGCAGCTCACTTGGTTCCCATGTCCCCTGCCATAGCCCAGTCATCACTTGAGCCGAATATAGTCACCCCCACTACAGGGGATATTCTGAGAGGCTTGGACCCCTGCTTATGGGACAAAGCATGACCAGGAGGTGTGATTGGCCAGGCCCTCCTGCCTCACCTCAGCCCAGGTCTGGTTGCAGATGGCCATGGCAGCTGCTTCCAGCTGCTGCAGAGTTGCCACAGGCAGTCCCATTGCGGTCCTCAGGAAGTCCACAGTGTAGTAGAAAGCAGAGAAGGCCTGCGGGGGGCGGGACAGTCACGCCAGGGCCACTCCCCCAGAGCTGTAGGGCACCTGACCCACCCATGTCTTCCTGGACTCACAATGAAGTTCCCAGCCACAGGGGGCTGGAAGACCCCATTGAAGGAACATCGAGAGAAGGTGCAGGAGGAAAGGTCAAAGAGCCCAGAGACAAGGTCACGACAGAGAACAGGGTCACTGGTCCCCGACACACTGACTCTGGCACTGCTGTTGAAAGTCTGGGGCCACTGAGCCTCGGTGCATGGTGACTGGTACAGGTCCTGGAGCAGGACTTGAGTGGAATAGCCCCTTGGCCAGCAGGGGTGGAAGCCGTGGGTCTGGAGAGATGACCAGGATATCAGAGCACTACCCAGAGCACAGGTGCGCTGGGCATTGTCAACCCAGCCTAGCCTCCCAAGGGACCTGCCTGGATGTGTCTGCTGGATCCTCAGAGCCCCTCCTGCCATCCCTACCCCAGAGGACCAGCCTGGTGAATCCCCCACAAATCCAACTTGGGCAATATCACTTTTTGCTCAGGAGCCACAGATGGCATTCGGGGCCCTCTGAGATCTGTTCCTGGCCCTCAGTTCTCCATCCTGATCCCCAGCATTAGCCCTTTGCTCCTGTGGAGTCCCCCAGCTGAGGAGCCTAGCTGTAGAGCCTCGTGGGCATGGTCACTTCCACCCTCTGCTCTGGGGCACTTGACTCCATCTGTTCTGCTCCCTCCCTCAGGTGGGGTGGGCTGGGGTGGAGGGGCACCTGGAGGGCACTGGCCAGCAGTCTCTGGAGGACCTGGTCTCGGCCATAGCAGAGGAAGCTATGTGTATAGACCCGGTAGTGCTGGCCGTAGAGCCGTAGCTTGACCTCATTGGCTGGATCCTCAGCTGGGATGGCCGTCTCGAAGGTGATCTGTGTGGAGGCACCCCCCAGGTCCATGGCCCCCAGCGTCCCCTTCCTCGGCCGGAACCACCGGCCCACCCAGCCGTACTGTGGAGAGTGGAGGTTGGGTCAGCCTGGGGCCAGGTGCAGGTGTCCCTGGGCTCGTTGAAGCAGACCCACCTTAATGAAGTTCTCCAGCAGGTAGTTGGCAGTCACCCAGCCAAACACCCCCTCGTCCTGGCCAGAGAGGATGCGTGCACCACGGAAGTCAAAGGGGTACTGGGTCAGCGTCCGCGTCACTGCCTCAAGCACACTGGCCGAGGCCTCTGGACTGGTCAGGCTGTGGGGCAGGGAGAACTCTGAGGGGCTTGCTCCCCAGGTAGCTGTGATCCTGCTGCAGGGGGCATTCCCCAGTGAGGAGGTTCCAGCCCAGAGTTGCTACCAAGGGCATGTGGGGTCCACCCTGTGCAGGGGCTGTCCTGGGGCCCCAGGGCAAGGTCAGGGGACATTCAGCTCACTTGAGCAGGCGCATGCCTGCTGTAGCTCCCAGGTATAAGGGGGTGCCAGCGTGTCTCTCTTTGGGCACATCCCGAAGTGCTTGTTCCAGACATTCAACCAGACTCTGGCCAGCCCCAGAAGGGTTATCTGCATAGCTGGAGATGCCCCCACCTAGAGGGAGGTAGAGACATGCCCAGCCCCTGTAAATGGTCCCCAGGTGGGCTGTAGTCCAGTGGGGCTGGGGGACTGGACTCCCAACCAGGTACTACTGGCTTCTCCCAGGTAGCTTAGACACACCTTCCCAGCTTAAGCCCCCAGAGACACCCAGTTCAAAGACAAAGGGGCCCAGGTGCCACCCAGAGTCTCTGAGGCTGCCGCCTTCGGGGTGGGTGTGGGCACAGGTGCGCTGGGCATTGTCAACCCAGCCTAGCCTCCCACAGGACCTGCCGGGATCGGCCTGCTGGATCCTCAGAGCCCCTCCTGCTCTGTCTGGGGCTTAGAGGTCAGTCCTGGGCCAGGTGAGGCCTGGACCTTCCACCACTTCCTGGAGCTTCCCTTTCTGGAACAGAGTACCCATACCCCTTCCCAGCACAGAGGACCCAGCCTCTCTTTCTGGAGTGAGCTCCACCCAGGATCAAGCCTCCTCCAGGGGCTGGAGAAGGCCCCTGGGACCCCACAGGAGTGGTGTCCAGGCTGGGGAGCACTGGTGCCCTGGAGACCTCACCTTGGACATCACAGGAGCTGTGCTGGCCCACTATGCCTGTATCATTCTCCTTGTCTGCTGGCCACTTGTAGACAAACATGGACGTGTGTGAAGAGCCAGCATCCAGGACAATGCCATACTGGGAGAGGAGAGAGTCAGCTGGAGGGTCGAGGGCACTTAAGGCCATGCCCTTTGGTCTCCACCCTGCCCTGTCATATGGTGGGCTTCATGCCGAAGCTCAGAGAAGGCCAGCTCAGCCACAGGGACAGGGCTTGGTTGGAAGAAGAACTGGGGTGGGGTAAGATAACTGGGGTGACCACTTCCCTCTTACTACCTGAAGCTGGCAGGCCATGCAACAGGAAGCAGGCCTACTGGCAGGGGCAACCAGTGGGCTATGCCAGGGACAGAGGGTCACAGGCAACATCTGAAACTTTGTCCTGGGAACAAAACTTTTTCCTTGGGTCCAGGGAGAGGAAGAAACCGCACCAAGCTGCCCTTCCTTCCTCCTGCCTCCGCCTCCACCTGCTCTGACTTCAGCCCACCCAAGAAGAAAGCTGGCTAGGACTGGGAATGGGCCTCCAATCCGTGCCCCTCCCTGGCATCAAAGCCAGCGCCAGACACAGGTTGGTCCTGCAGAGCAGAGGGGTCTCAGGATGGGCCTGGCAGGTGATGCGTGGACCCAGCCTGTGAGTGACCCCCTCCTTCTCAGCACCTGTCCTCCACCCACAGCCCAGTGCTGATTCCAGCTTGGGAATGGCTGCACAAACCTCCCCATCAAGGAACTTCCCCAGAACCCACGGAGGGCAGCCGGCCTACCCCATCCCCATTTTGCATAGCCACAGAGCCCCCTCCCATCGGGCTTGTGGGGCCTGGATCAGTACACCCCCACACTCACCCCACACAAGCGCAATAAAGGGTTAAAGGAGCCAGTGGGGAGGCCGCTGGGCCTGGGGTGGGAGTTTGGGCGGAGATCTGGCCTAGCCCAGTTCAACCCTTTTAGCGCCAGCCAAGCCCTGCTCCAGGCGCAGCGCCCACCCGCACTGTCCTGGCCACCGGATAGCGGGAAGGGGTCCCCGGCCGTCATCGCCCATAGCTCCCCATCTGGGCTGCATCCAGAGCGGAACGCCTCTAACTGCGCACTCCTGGGCGACCCCGCAAGGCGGAGGTGGCCCCGAGTGTCCTGAGGCTCGCGCTGGGCTGGAGGAAGGGCGTCTGGCCACAGCCTGGGGTGCCGGGGCCGCATTCCGGGACCAGGAGACAGCCCTCCGCCCGCTGGCAGGCTCTGCGGCGGCCGGGGAGCTCCCGCAACCTCGACCTCCAGTGTCGCGTGGTCCCGGAAGCGCCGGTGCCGCCTTGAGGACCCGTAGGGACCAGCGCGGGACAGGACCCCACCCAGGCCCTCCCGAGCGCAGCGCGGGTGGTCGCCGGCTGACGCGGGAGTGCCGCTGGACCGCGTGGACTCCGAGCCGCCCCCGCCCGGCTCCCGGCCTGCGGGACCCGCTGCTCCCCGGACGTGCGCCGGGTGTCCGGGCGTGCACCTTGAGGGCGGGCGGCTCCCGGACGTCGCGGGTGGGGACGCACAGCAGCAGGAGGCCGGAGAGGCCGGCCGCGGCCAGCACCAGAGGAGGCAGCAGTGACAACACCTTCCCGGCCATGGGCGGGCACGCGGGAGGACGCGCCGGGGACCCGCGGGCAGCCGGCAGCTGAGAGGCCGGGGTGGCCCGGGCCGCGGGATAGACGCCCGGGGCGGGGCGCGGGAGACCACGCCCACATGCGGCCACGCCCACAAGTCCCATCTCCGCCTCCGCCCGGAGCGCAGGTAGGAGACGCGACCGGGCTGAGTCATCCTTGTATCCTGGCCGTTCCCTTTGCCTGAGTGCCTCAGATCGCAGCTGGGTGACCCTCTTACTATTGCCCACCCTCCTACCTCCTGTCCACTTAGCACCCAGCCCTGTCCTGTGAAGCCATGAGAACAGGATACCTGGCGCTGGGCGGGGGGGCTAAGATGCATCAGGGGCAGTCATTTTCCGTGGCCTGGGAAAAGGGAAGGAGGAGCCACCCACAGGCGCCTCTTGGGTTCCAGGCTGGGGTCAGGAGGACACTGAGACTCAGCTCCTGCTGGTGGAGCACAATGCTCTGCACGAGCACCAGGCTGGCTCCTGGGGTACCCTCTCTGCAAGATCCACAGCCTTCTGTGCTGACTGACCGGAGGCTGCCCGCCTGCACAGGTCAGCTCCTGGGCACTGAGCTGACTCTGACTCAGGTGAGCTGGGCACTCGAATTGAGCAACAGAAAGAATTAAGTCAGATGTACCTCACACATCCCTCTACTATGGTGACAGTTGAGGCCACTGAGGCAGAGAAGGACAGGGATGGTCAGACCAAGCCCAGAAACAGAAGAGAAACTGAGCAGGATGGGGCCTCAGTCCCTTTTAGCCTTAGGGCCTTGGCCATCCTGGCTTCCCAGGGGAACAAAGGACAGTCTGCCTGCCACAGGCCTCACCCTGGAGGGCAAGGAAGAGGACCCCCTGCCAGGCCTGGGAGCTGGTCAGCAACAGGCTGGCTGGAGTGGACAAGTGCTCTCTAGTCCCAGGCCCAAGCCTGCCCCTCCTAACCCACAGAATGCCTGTCCTCTGACACCACATGGACCTGCAGGTCAGCCCGACCAGGCTCAGGGCCTCCTTCACCAGGGGCCACCAGCTTTGTGCACTTACCAAATGGGAATTGCAGCCAAATCCCATCCCCATGGCAACCCAGTAAGACCACCAGGGTGAGCAGGAACCCAGCTGAGCTAAAGGGAGGCCTTTGATGGGGGCGGGGTGTGGGCAATGGCCCAGCCAGCAGAACAGGCAGGACGATTGGGCTGGGATTGCTGCCCAGGCTGAGGGTCTGGGTCACAGCTCAGTAAAGGCGTCTTTCTTCTAGCTCAGGACCCTAGAGGGAGGGGTGGGAACCCAGGAGGTCACTCAGCCTCCCAGATCTCAGCCTGGAGGGTCTCCAGAAGACTCTCTGGGTGTGGCCAGCACTGGGCTCCAGGCCCCAGTGTCCAGCCAGCATCTCCACCCCACATCCCTCCAGGCCCTTTCTCCCACCCTGAACCAGAGGGGGGAGAGGCAGGCACAGGGGCCTGAAAGGAAAGGACAAAGGGAGCCCAGAGAAGGCCCATCTTGTGAGAGGGCAGTGGTGGCCTCCATCCTACCAGAGCTAATGGGCTTCCTGGTGTTCTGGACTGTCCTTGAACAGACAAGCCTGGGGTAGCTGGACTCCCCACCCGGCCTGATGAGATGGGGCAGGGTCCGTGGGGAGCCCAACCCCTGCCCTGGGGCAGACAGGCTCTGGCCAGGCGCCGGACCAGCCTGCCAAGAAGGGCAAGCCGCTGAGCAGGGACGGCCAGGATGGGCCGAGAGCGGAGTGCTTTCTGAGTGGAACTAGGGCAGGGAACAGCCCTTCCTGGCACGGAGACAGCTGCTGGGTGCTGGGCTCCTGGGAGGTGGACTCGGGGACCCAGAGCAGGGTTCCCCCAGGGACCTCAGCAGGGCAGGGCTCCAGGCAGAGCAGTGTGGAGCAGACAGGTGGAGTGCCCCTCCCCAGCCAGACTCAGACCTCCAGGGAGGGCCTGTGGCTGAGACAGCTGAGGCCCTGGCCTCCCGCCTCAGCCTTTCCTTCAGAAGTCACTGTGTCCAGGGGCAGACACATCTTCTGCTTATTATGTTTGTTATTGTTTGGTTGTCTTACTGCTCCACCCATGCTGTCCCCCAGTCCTTTTCATTGCTGAGTAGTATTCCAGGGTGTGAATATGCTACAGGGTTTTGTTTTGTTTTGTTTTTGATACTGGGGATCTAACCCAGGGGCTCTTAACCACAGAGCCACATCCCCAGCCCTTTTGAGGTAGGGCCTCACTAAATTGCTGAAGCTGGCCTCAGACTTGGGACCCTCCTGCCCCAGCCTCCGCAGTCACTGGGATTACAGGTGTGATTACAGGTGTGGCCACACCTGGTCTACTGTGGTTGTCTGACCAATCATCATTGAGAAGTGTCTGTCTGCATGGTTTCCCATTTTATATATAAACGACGTGCTCTGAACATTCGTGTACATGTTCCTGCATGAAAATCAGCTCATCTCTCTGGGATAAATGCCCATGAGTGGGATTAGGTGATGGATTAGTCAGAGCTCCTCAGAGAAACGGGTGCAGTGGGGAGGGGCACGCTTGATCACATCCCTGATTCTGGGTCTGTAGAGCAGTTCAGTGGGCAGCAGGGTCCACGGCACAACTTCCACGTCAAAGGCCACCTGGAGGCTAGACTCCTGCCTCTCAGGAGGACCTCAGCTTCCCTCTCAGAGCCTACAACTAACGGGATGAGGCCCACCCACTCTGTGGAAGGAGACCTGCTTTACCCAAAGTTTACTGGTTGAAACATTACTCACATCTGACACACACCATCACAGCAATGTCCCCACAGGTGTTGAAGGTCTGGGTACCACAGCATGGCTGAGCAGACACTTAAAAGTAACAATCATGGGCCTGGGGTTGTGGCCCAGCGGTAGAGCGCTCGCCTAGCACGTGCGAGGCCCGGGGTTCGATCCTCAGCACCACATAAAAATAAATAAAATAAAGGTGTTGTGTCCAACTACTTCTACAAAATAAATATTTTTTAAAAAGTAACAATCATGCAGTAAACCGATTTTCGTTGTTGGGGTTTTGGTGGGGAGAGTACTGGGGATTGAGCCCAGGGGTACTCTACCACTGAGCCACTGCCCCGGCTTTGCTATTTTCTATTTTGAGGCAGGGTCTTGCTAAATTGCCCAGGCTGGCCTCCAGCTGAACCCTGGGATCACAGGCGTGCACCACTGTGCCCACATCAATCTTAGTTTTGAAAACAGTTACGACTTTCCACAGTGGCTGTCGGCGGAAGCCAGCTTGACATGACTGCAGCCATCCTGGTGGTGACTGCCATCTGGCCGGCCAGGTGGCCCTGGCATGCACTGCAAACCCCGGGGATAAAGCGGTCATTAGTGTGGTCAGTGGGGCCTCCCTGCAGCCACCGGTGCCTGGTAACGTTGCGTCTTACTAGTTGCTGAGACAGAGATTCCCATGGGAGGAGGCCCACCTTGGCCTACCTAGCACATAAGTGGCTGCTGTCCGAGACACTCTGTCCACTAAGGCCCCATGAACTTCACTCTGCCATCCTGGATCCGCCTGCCTGCTGGTCTCTGAGCACTTCCAGCTGAGGGCTGTGCTCACACCGTCTGAAAACGCTATCCCACTTGAAGCTCCCACCAGCAGCACGTGGAGGGCCAGCCTCTCTGCACAGGGCCGGGGTGTGGTGTGGACTCGGCTTCACGGGCCGCCCTGGTGGGGTGCACATCTCCGCAGCCCGCATCTGCTCATTCCCGGTGGCTGTGAGGCTGACATCTCCTCACGTGTTTGCCGTCTGCAGTTCCTCTGTGGGAAAATCGCTGCAGATCTTTGTGATTTACATATTTTGTGGCTATATTACTGGGTGATCCCAGGTTAAGGATTGTTATATCTTAGTAGTAAAATTAGTTTTTTATGACTAGGTAGTTACCCTCACTATGTTTAGTGCCATCTCTTGCCTTAAACTGGGCATGGTGGGGCACACCTGTAGTCCCCGTGACTCAGGAGGCTGACACGGGAGGTGCTCAAGTTTGAGGCCAGTCCTGGTAACTTAGCAAGACCCTGTTTCAAAAAAATAAATAAATAAAATAAAAATCAGGGGCTGGCAGTGGCTCAGTGGTAGAGCCTTGGGTTCGATCCCAGTACCAAAAAAACGAAACAAAAGCAAAACAATAAACAACCAAAAAACCCCTATTTTGTTTTACATTAATATGACTAAAATTTGTGTCTTTGTTTTCTGTTGTAATTCTCTTTCAGGTGTATCTCTTAAAACAGACTAATTTTAATTTCTAAAAATCTAATCTGACAACTTTATCCTTTAATCGGTGCTCTTGAGTCATTTACATAAATTGT